GGCCCATCTCCCTTCCATGGGGGTTACCAAAACATTTGTTTCTCTTTAAAAGAGAACATCAATATTAATAAATGCTTGGCCTCCGCCTCGGGTTTCCTGCCCTGTTTTCCCGACAAAAATCCTCTTTGGGGAGCCCCCTGGGTTGGTCTCAACCTCAGGACCAGCGCTCAGCTCTCCCTCCATAAAACGGTGGTTCCTAAATATTTCAGGGCCCCAGGGAGGAGCCGCCTCCCGATGGCCCAGGTCGACCATGGAGGTGATTATAGCTTAAATGACTCGCCCGGGGAAAGAGCGACTGGCGACGGCGCCGGAGGGGGACGCGAGCGGGCCTGGTACCTGAGGGCACGGTGTTTCGGTCACAGACCGCGTCCTTGAGTAATTTGTCTCGGATTTCCCAGCTGAACATGCCCGGGTTCTCTCGCTTGTATTCCTCAATTTTCTTCTCCACGTCAGGCGTCGTCACCTGCTTTAAGAGAACAGGCAGGCAGGTGTTGCGGCCCAGTCCACTGGGCGAGCCAGAGGCGCCTTCCTGCGCCCCCTGGGCAGGGCCCCCTTGTTAGCAGAGGGGTCCCAGCTCTCTAAGGCAGTTGACCCTTAGGGAGGGCCTGTCAGAAAGTCATCCCACCCCAAAGCAAGCCCGATACCCTCCTCCTCCCCAGCTAAGCTCGGACAATCAGGATAAATGAAAAAGAGGTGTGCCGTTTCTGATCCCTGGAAATACAGAAAGGCAATTTCTTATACAACATCAACACGAAAATGAAACTAAACAAAAAGAAATGCTTGAAAGAGGAGCAGAGAAATCAAATCAGACCCGCAACTTTCCCTTCTCCAAAGGAGCGCCAGATTTTAGCTAAAGTGAAGAGCAGAGTGAAATGCAGACGGTGAGTATCTATGTTTTCAAGAATTAGAGCAGATAACAAATAGGCATAATTGGAGAAACTGGCTCTGGATTTTTTTCCAATTTAAAGAGTTTCCAGAGATTCTTAGAAAGGTTGTAAGGGGCCCTGAGGAGGCAGGAGAAGAGGAGGGTGTTCAGAAGTCTTAAGTTTACCAGAACTCTCCTTTTGATGTTGCCCTGTGGCAACTAGAAAACTCTATTGCATTTTCCTCACATCCAAAAGGCAGCCCTGATGCAACCCCCTCCCACTCAGCCCTTGCCAGTAAGACTCTCTCTCTTTTCTTTTTATAAAGGGAACCAGACTCATTTGAGGATAGCACCAAACTGCTTTTTAAAAGCCAAATCAGGGGCTCACTACAATGAAAACACATCACTCAGCTTTTGACTCCTTGAAGACAATTTGGACTGGAAGAGACTGGGGACGGGAGCTGGGAAAGCAACCCTGAAAAAAGCAGAGGCTCCTAAGATTAGTTTTGGGAAGGGCAGTGCAGTGGGTGGGAGCTGGGGAGATGCTTGAGGAAGAAACCAGCAACAAGTGGACACAGACCGATTGGTGGTTGCCTATCAAAATAATGTGTTGAGGAATTACGAGATTCAGGGCATTTAAAAATGCTATATTTTATTTACACAAGGGCTGGCTTTTTCCCTTGCAGTGGTTCTCAACCTTCTGGCCCTTTAAATACAGTTCCTCATGTTGTGACCCAACCATAAAATTATTTTCGTTGCTACTTCATAACTGTAATGTTGCTACTGCTATGAATCGTAATGTAAATATCTGATATGCAGGATGGTCTTAGGCGACCCCTGTGAAAGGGTCGTTTGACCGCCAAAGGGGTCGCGACCCACAGGTTGAGAACCTCTGCTAGTGTTTATCAAGGAATCTCGGTTTCACACACTCCTCCCCAGACTTGAAAAATAACTTCTCCTTGGAAAGTCCCAGAGGGCACCCCTTGCCTTGCCCCCAGCCTGCTCTTCCCTAACCGGGAGACCGCAGGCCCAGAAGCCTCCGGAGCCGGCGCCTGCTCACCTTGGGCTTGCTGCCGCCAATGGCACCCGGCCGGATGGAGCCGGTCTCCTGGTACCTGCACAGGATCTTAGAGACGCAGCCGTGGGACACGCGCAATTGGCGGGAGATGACGCAGGGCCGGATCCCGTGGTGGGCCATCTCCACGATCTTGTGGCGGATATGGTTGGGCAGCGGCCTGCCGTTGATAAACACACCGCCCAGCTGGTTGACTCGGCCCTGGCCGAGGGGGGTGGACACTGGGGGCAGAAGGTGAAAAGAAAGGCAAAGGGAAAGTCATTTCAGGGGAATTGGGAGCAGCCACCGGGAGGATGTGCCTCTAACTTCGCGCTCTTTGGGCCAATCCGAATGTTACAGTCTCAGCAATGAAACGGCTCCTATCCAGCTTCCGGCCCCAGGTCCCTTTTCAATCACGTTTGTTCAAACTATTAAGCAATTCAGGGCCACATAATCTTGTGTGGAAGGAACAACCAGGGCAAATAACTTGTCCCAGAGAAACTATCTTCCCTTTCCGCCCAGGTGAAGTGGCAGCTCTGGGGACCGGGTGACCCTGTGGCTGGCACAACGTGTATCTTGTTCCAGAAACAGCCTCCTGGCAGACAGTTCACCCCGGCTTCAGCCTTCTGGACTCTGCTCACACCAAACCCTGTCCAAGTAGGCCTGCTCCCTTCCCAGGGGACTTGAAGGCGCTCAGAGCCTTTGGGATTTCCAGCTAAGAATGCAGTAGCCAAGGATCAAAGAGGGTCCCAAAAGGAGGCTGCAGGTGGCAGGCGTGTCACCTGTTACATCTGGGGACAGGGACAAACCGGATCTGCTCGCAGGCCCCCCTTGCCTCCAGCCATGCCCTGGGTGTTACATTCTACTCTGGACCGAGGTCGGAAGGTAGGAGCCACCGACCCGCATCCCCGCTGGGACGCCCCAACCTCTCAAACTGTCAGGACTAGGGCTTGCAAAACTTCCTGTGTCCCCGGAATTCCCAGAACCTTCCAGCTGACTTTGTCAGTTTCCCAAACGGCTTATGGAAACTTCAAGATGCCGCTGAAGGAGAGTGAAACTCAATAAATAATTAATACTAAACATCGCAAGCGCGAGGGAGGTCGCAGGGCCTCGCCGCCACAACTGTGCATAGGCAAGACAATTTCCCCGGAACTTGACAAGAGCTTAGCAAATATGGGCAACGCCAGGACAATTTTGAAGCTCCTTTGAGTGAACAAAATACGGAGAAGTTGCTTTCTGGTGCTCGGAAGCCCGTTCATCCCCTCGGCACCAAGGCTTTTCCAAAACAGCCGGGCAAAGTGGACGCGCCTGGCGCAGGCCTGGCCGCCAAGCTCGGAAAGGGCTTTCGTAGAGAACCGCGCTCCGTTTACAGAGAGGAAATCGGGTGCTGATGTCGCCCCCACTCCGTCCCGGGGTGGGGTGCCCAGGGAAGGGGGTCCCTGGATCGCTCAAGGAGCCTGCGGAGACCCGGGTAGAGGGAGCAGCCCGGGCCCAGCCCCGGATCCGCGCGCTGCGGAGGCCCTCGCTTACCTTCCAGCGGGAACCCGCTGCGCGGATAGTTCTGCCCCGGGCCCGGCCGCATCATCCTGGGCACAGCTCCGGCCAGCGTGGTCATCCTGCGGGCAGCTTCGTTTGGAAATGATATCCAGGTACAGGCGAGATAGGAAGGCGAGCGAAGCGCTGGTCACCCTCGGGAACTCCCCGGGCGCGCGGAGAGCCCCTCCCCAAAGAGGCTGGAGACGGAGGGAGGGCCGTGGGGAGGGGGACTGCTCGCTTCTAGTCCAGGGAGAGGCTCGAGGAGGAACCAGGCCGGGAAGCCCCTGAATCCAGGATCTCGAGCCCAGGGTGGGAAAGTTTACTGGGAATCTGGGCGAGTGGCCCCGCGCCTGGGACGCTGGGGAGGGGTCTCGGGCGCAGCGACGAGCCAGGGAAGGGGGTGGGGCCGGGAGCACGGCCGGCCGGAGTCTCTTCCTGTCGTGACAGCGAGTGCGGGGATCCAGGCTCTTGAGCCTTTATTAGTTCTTTCACCCAAAGCTTGGTCAAGAGCCCTGAGCTGCGATTGGCCGACGGGGAGACCGTCCCGGGTGGCGGAGACACGCGCTGATTGGGCGACAGCGGCCACTTTCTCTTCCCATCCCCGGCGGTGCCGAGACCTTGGCCGGCCCCAAAGGGACCCGCGCTGCGCCCCTTCCCCAGGAGAGAAGGATGGACTCGTAGAAACTGGGAGAGAGCGCCTGAGGGAGGTGACAGCTGCTGCGAGTAGGGAGGGGTCCCTCTCTTTCCGTCTCTGTCACTCTATGTGTTTCTCTCCTTGGCTGTCTATTTCTCTGTCTCTTTGTCTCTCTCAGTATCTCTGTGTGTCTGTCTCTGACTCTATTCTCTCTGGGTGAGTATGTCTATGTTTTCTGCCTGTGGGGCGCTCTCTCTCTCTCTCTCTCTCTCTCTCACACACACACACACACACACACACACTTGGCTTGCTGCCACTGGAGGGGGCTCAATTCCATAAGAAGGCACTGGGAACCCCCAGACATGTGTGGCCTTCCTTCCTCTGGTCAATGCCCCTTGGCCTAGGCTTGTTCAGGGGTTCTCCCAGGAGGAGTCCAGGCTGTGCTGACCGGTTCTTTTGTCTTCTCCGCCGGGAGCGGGGGCGGGGGTACTGTGCAGCCCAGCAGAGGTGGGGAGGAGGCCGCAGTCGATGGCTGGGGAGGAGAGGAGAAGAAAAGGGTCTCCTCTTCTTGATTGAAAAACCCGGTCTGCAAAAGCCCAGCTCTAAATCTCAATGTATAGATTCCCAACACGCAGGCAGAACTGCGTCTATACGTTCAGGTTTTGCCCGGCTGCAGCGTTTGTTCTCAGGAATTTATTATGGTATTCAGGCTAAACTGCTGGAAAAATAAAAGGAGCGGAGTCTTGGCTAGGAGCTGAAGTGTCCCCAGCAGGATATGACGCCAGGAGTGTTGTAAAGACTGTCTGTCCTCAGAGAAGGTACCATTGTGCATAGCCTTTTATTTATAACTTGGTAAGTGCCAGCGAACTCGCCTCCTTTACACCCCCAGTGCCAGCCCCGGGCTCTGCACTGCGCTTTATGCGCTCGAGTCTATTCAGGGACTGTCACTCTGAGACTGCGAGGTATTCAGGGCCTTAATCAATCAAAAGGATGAGAATCGGGCAGGTTTTTCCCTTTGAAATAAAGGAAACAATGACTTCTGGGCTTCAAGTTCCCCCTTTCCCTTTTACGATTTTTGAATTTTTCCTGCACTGGAGTTCTCCACCCCTCTCTCTCTCCCCATCTCCCTTCCACCAACTCCTTTGACAGATTTTACGTGAACTCGGGCTCCCAACACCCCTTCCTAACCCCCTAATTAAGGCAAACTCAGAAGGCAAGTTTGGGAAGGGGAGGCGAAGAATAGCTGCTCGATCGTCTGCAAGTTGGCCCTTTAAAAATTCACTCCCAAGTGGGAAAGCAGGCAGCTTTGGGCTGGGCCCAATGTCGAAAGGCTTGATGGACCTGGAAGCAGCTAAGAGAGGCCTCTGGAGGCATCCGAAAAATTCTGGGCACCCCACACCCACCCAAGGGGGACAGCGCCCCGTGTGCATTCATAGTACAAAGGAGGTGCTGTTGAGAATGGAGCCCTGCTCGACGTGGTTTTATATAAAATGATTCAATTTGTCAAGGGGAAAACTTTCTCCTTTCCTTTGTGCACACATGGGGCCACCAAAGTCTGTGTCCTTGTTTCTTAAGCCCCTTCGCAGGGATTGCCTCTCGGGAGCTGGACTTTTCCCCAGTTTTCTGTCTCCAAAAGGTTGGCTGAGGCAGACCGAGCACTTTCTGGGGTCAGCGGTAATTGTTGGGGGAGGGAGGTACCGAAAGTGGATTTTAAGAGGGCAATAAGAACTTCAAATTGCGCTGAAAGGACCCCGGGACGGCGGTGGGCGTTAAAAATCGTCGAGGGCCGAATCTCACTGGTTTTTTTGAGCCCAGGGCTCGTATCCCGGGCCCTCCCGGCGCTGCCCGGCGCCCTCCCTCCCCCACAGCCTGCGCTCTGCGGAGCCGCGGGCCCGTGAGGGGCGCGCTTACTGCAGACTCGTCCTCCCGGGTTGCGTGCCTCCTCTTCGCCGAAGAGGCAGAGCCGGGAGGACCTTTGAATGGAGGTACTGACGGTGGATCTGGATCACGAGTGCGGGTCTGGATCACGCGCATCCATAAACCACCACTACTTGCTATAAAAACGTGCAAATATAGGCCCGAGGGTGTGTGTGTGGGGGGGGGGGCGGGCACAGCTCCGGGGTGTCTCCCTCCCCGCCTCTCCCCTGCCCTAGCTCTGAGGTTATAGAAGCCAGACGGTTAGCTCGACCCTTTCCCACCCACAGCGGCCAGGAGACCCCGGAGGCCCAGCAGCTGGGCCGGTGCGGCGGCGGGGCCACTTCCAAAGACCTCGGGAGTCCAGATGCCCTGAGGTTGGCGTCCTGGAGGTCCGACCCGGGAGGGCCGGGGCAGCGGTGCCGGCTGGGGCTTCCCGGCCGGTGGCGCCCATTCGCAGCCGCGCCAGACCCGGCCCAGAGCCAGCGGAGCACTGCGCCGCGCAACAGGTCGCGGAGGGCAGGGTGGTTCCAGACTCGCCAGGTTTGTTTCGAAGAGCACATCCCCAGTTCTCCACTCCAGTCCCTCCTGCCCGGCCTCTGACGGCTGGGCCTCTCCTACATCTTTCCAAGTCTCTCCAGAGCCAAAGGCCCCGGCCCCGGCTGCCCCGAGCAGGGAGGGGTCCTCCACCTTCCCCTGCCCGGAGCCTGCGGGCCGCAGCGTCCCCCAGCCCGATCTGGCCATGATACAGGCGCTACTTGGCACCCCGGTGACCTGGTAGTGGGGCTTGGCGGGCGAGCGCCTGACACCGCATCCCTGAGCCCGAGTTTGGGAGGCAGCACTTCTCCCTGCGGACACATCGCCCAGAAAGCAGCCAGGAGGGTCCCTAGGCCGGTTCTGTGAACAAGCGGTGCTGCCCACCCCGCCGTCCGCGCACGTGCAAAATGAAGGCAACAATAGCATCATTTGATTGTAAAAGGAGGAACGTGACTTGCCAGGACTTCCCCCGCCCCCCAGTTTCATTGGCACCGCAGGTGAAACAGCCGCTGCCTGCGCCAGCCTGGTGGGGGGTGCAGGGGGCCTGCCTCCTTTACTTGAAGGTTCTCCTTCCCTGTGGGGTGGGTTGCTCGCATCTACAGGCCAATCCTGGGGGAGGGGGGGCCGCTTGGGCTGCGTGTCACCCTTCAGCACGCAGCCCCCACAATTGTGGGACGCCCAGCCCAGGCGTGTCATGCCCATGGGCTTCTCCAGCCTCTGAGAGTTGACATCATTTGTAGCCGGACACAGGCCTTGCGGGAAATGAAGATCTATGTAAAATAACGTGCCTGACCTTGTAGATGGTGGCATCTACCACCTAGGCCTTCCCCCCACCCACCCCCCACCCCCGTCTAGAGGCTGGGCTCCGACTGGCAGGGACCGGCCTGGCCCACCACCAGGTCGCAGGCATCACTCTCCAGACGAAAGCAGCACGAAACCCTCAGTTCCGCGGAATGGCTTTGCCGTGTTA